TAGTGCGTGTTTAAGGCTAGTGGTGGTTTGTGAGGGCGGTACTAGAGGGCCCGAGTAACTAACTCTAGTCGGGGTCGGGGTGTTATAGGTGGTATCAGAGCAACCCTGCGACAATGTGCAGGCCCATTGGATATCGGGCAGACACTTAGTAGGGGAAGATTCTAGGAATTGATTGAGAATGATTTATGGGTGCAACGAGAACATTGTGTTCCTAAGTGGGGGTGATTGTAATACATGAGATTAATTTAAATGGATTGATATTACTACTCATACCAATAAGGTGCACCTCCTTTTAAGAGAGCTCATCAGCTAAGAACTCTAAGTTAAGCATGCTTCCACGAGAGTAGTCTTGGGATGGACAACCCCCTGGGAAGTTTTTCAGGGCGCACACGAGTGAGGACAAAATGTGTGATAAAGGCTTGTGGTGATTTGTGATGACAGGAGTAGAGGTCCAGATGACATTTAGGAGTAACTACCTTGGACCCTACAGGGTGGAGTGTTACACCGCCGATCGGGATAATCCTGATATTTGGTGTTTTCTCCAATTTTACTGACTGCATAATGGGCAGCTCTTCCAAAGCAATTGGCAAACTTGTGTACTATAGCTTAGACTTCTTTCTAGTTCTTAATAGTTAATATAAATTAGGAATCCTTCTGTATTTTGAAAACTCCCTTTATTATAAATATATCTCAGGACCCTCACTAGGGTAACCTATGCTAATCTTTCACATGGTATCAAGAGACTTCTTTCATCCGTCTCATTGTCTCTCAGTTTGTCATGAAAGATCTTGGTGATCTTAATTATTTTTTTGGAGTTAAAGTTGTTTGCACATCTACTGATCTTTTTCTCTCACAGCAAAAATATGTGTATAATCTTCTTCATCGTTTTCACTTCCACACGTTAAAATATGTAAGAACTCCCCTAGTCACCCGTACAAATCTCTCCTCACTGATGGTGAACTCCTAACAGATGTTACTGAGTATCGCAGTTTGGTTGGTGCATTACAGTATTTAACTTTGACACAACCTGATATTACTTATGCAGTTCATTTAGCATCTCAATTTATGCATGCTCCCCATACTACTCATATGCTTGCAGTCAAGCGCATTTTCAGATATTTACAGGGCAATCTTGATCATGGATTATGGTTTGATAAGTCCATATTTCGACACACATTTGATACGTGTTGGGATCAACTTTTGATGGTTTTTCTAGCTATAAGGTGTTACAAGTCTCAATTTTAGCTCAAGTTATGTTTACCGGGCGTTGGTTCGATTTTTGTGTTGTTTGGAGTCAAAATCAGGGAATTTGAGTCCTGCACCGGCATTTGAGAAGCAATCGGGACGAGTCGAGAAGCATTCGAGAGTGAATTGAGAGTTTTGGAGGTCAACGGGAGGTTTATGATGAAGATTTGAAGGCAAACGAGCTCTATAATTAGCTACGAGATCAAAAGAAGATGAATAGAGCTTGAAAACGGTGATCAGGATGGCGTTCTCTCAATCGTCTAAGCATATCTTTTCGTAGAAACATCCAATGAACATGATTCAAGTTCCATTTGAAAGCCAACTTCAAGGGATACAAATCATATGAAGACACCTTTCCGAGAATAGAGAGGAAAAATGTGAAAACAGACGATGAAGTCAGATGATCGTTGTTGAGATTTCAGAATGCAACCTTCCACCATTTTATTCATATCTTTTGATTGGATGATTCAAATCCAATTCTGCAAGTTTTGGTAGATAGATGACTTCATTATCTACAACTTTCATGAAGGAAGTTTTGTCAAATTCGGAAGGGAAGACACGGTCGTGCCAAGGGAGGCACGTCATGCCTGTAGAAGACACATGTACCGGATCCCTGGAAAGCCAGGCACGGTCGTGCCTGCCCCTTAGGCACACCGTTCCTGGACCCGAAGTCGCGAAGATGGCCTTGCTCCGCTGGCACGGTTGTGTCTAGCAGGGAGGCACGTCGTGCCTGACCTCGTTTTTGTGCCAGTTCAGCTCAAACTCATCTGTTTTCTATAAATAAGGCCTATATATATTCTCCTGTTTAAGGGTTACGAACATTACGGAGAGGCCTAGGGACGAACTTATCTGCATTTTTTCATGGTTTTCTTCAAGACCCTGGGATTATTTGTAAGTTCATTCTTTTTAATTAATGACAATTAATTATATTCATCCTGATTCTGTTGATTCGTCAATTATAATTTGCGAGTAGTTTAATTAGGGATTTGTGGTTGATAAAGGGTTTATCATGATGTATGGCTAGTTTCTTGATGGATTAATTGCATGAATGCCGTTTAGTTTGTGTGTGAATAATTTAACTGATATCTTTTGTAACCTAGAATCTCGACTAGAATTACAATTGCTTATAGAATAAATTAAGAGAGATCTAATTTGTTCTAAGACACCTTCACACACACTTAATTGTTCGCTAAGAGATTAGTAGCGATTAAGGGGTCGTAAGCTCGCTTGTCTTGGCAATAATTTAGGATCCTGTCGCATGAGAGATCAGCTTGGTCCCCTAAATTATTGTACTCTACGCCGCGAGAGCGGTAAGAACTTATTAGTAATTATTTTCTAGGCTCAATTAAATTAATTTCATGTAAGTAAGCTTGATCTGCCAGAAATCTGGTTACCCCGGAATCAATCCATGTTCCCTTCGCCGTTAAGAGAGAAGAAAACCAATCTTTATTTAATCGTTCATTCACATTAGTTTAATTTTCCCAACCAACCACTCTCGCACATCGCATTTATTTTATTTATTTCTTTTTAATCGCTGAATTTAGTTAATCTTTAATTCCCTTTTGTCCGTCCCTGTAGAGACGATACTCGTACTTTCAACCACTTTTCTACAACCTTTTTAAGTGCGAGAAAACTCACATCATGGCTCCAGACCTCTACTACACATTTGTGCATCTTGGCATATTCTGATGCTGATTGGGCTGGTTGTCCTGATAGTTTTCGCTCTACCACTAGATACGCTATCTTCTTGGATCCTAATCTTGTCTCTTGGAAATCCAAAAAGCAGTCTGTTGTGTCTAAATCTTCTACTGAGGCAGAATATCATGTCATTGCATACACAGTTCAGGACACCATACATATTCACTTCGTTTTGTTCGAGCTGGGGTTCGTAGTACGTGAGCCAATTCAGCTTTGGTGTGATAATATTTCAACATCATATTTGACCGTCAATACAGTTCAGCATGCTAGGAGCAAGCACATTCAAATCGATTATCACTTTGTTTATGAGAGGGTGGCTCACAGTGATTTACTAGTTACATATGTTCCTACTCATCTTCAGTTAGCTAATATTTTTATTAAAAGTCTTTCTACTCAGTAATTTCATTTTTTAAAAGACAACATGCATGTTGTTTCTCCCGCACAGTTTGAGGAGTGTGATAGTTAATATAAATCTGGATTCCTTCTGTATTTAATTGAAAACTCCTTTTATTATGTGTGTGTATGTCAGGACCCTCATTAGGGTAATCTGTGCTAATTTTTCACAGTTCTTTTGTAATCACTCAGTGTAGAACAAGGGGTTGAGATCGATTTGAGCTCGTTAAGGGTGTAGTGTAATAGAACTTGACTTACTTTACCTCTCATCCCTTCTAGTTATTGTTTTTGCTTTCGTATTACTTTACTGATACACTTCAATCGGTAAAAGACGTCCAAAAGACTGTTTTGAGCCTTTGGAGCGCGAGTATTCAACCTCAATGCTTACTTTTCTCAAATGAAAAAAACCACACTTCTTGTTGGAGCGTGATTGCGGTTGGGTGGTTATCGGTCTCTTCTGCTCACCACAAGCATTCATTCCAACTTGGAGAAGCATTTACCGGATATCCATAATGTATAAATTGCTTTAGACATCCATATCATGTATTAAATTTATTATGTAAACAATATTATAAAGATGAAATTAAAGATGAAATAGACATGTGAAGCCAGAAATTGCGGGCAACCCTTTAAAGGAGTGGATATTAAATTCGGCTGATGGAGAGACCCTATAATTTAATTGGACAGTTTCTGGGTTCGAACAAACTATTTCACGGGCAAACCATGTTTGACTATTCTTTTTTTTTTCTCTCATAAAATCTATAATTTTAACATAAGGTTTTTTAATTGGATTAGTTTTGGACTTGGATAAAACCTAAATATATTAGATCAGACTTGAACAAGTCATATTAAATTAGACCAGACTTCAAAAATACCACGTATTCAAATAGACATGCACCAGACATTCGTTAGACCAGACTAAAACTTAGACGTATCAGACTAGATCAGAAAACTTTACTACAATTAAAAACATTCTTAAGCTTTTAAAAATTGCAATATGCTTATTGGTTAAATCAATATTATACGATAGTATAAATATAGAGTACTACAAAATGAAGTAAAGGCTAACATATGACTAAAATAAATGTAGTAGATAAAGTATTAGCTCTTTATACAATGACTATGATAGTGACTTTCAATAACTATAATTGTGTTCAATTTTACACAACTACAAAATCCATTAAACAAATAGCTAACAAATTTAAAACCTAACCCGTTATTGTTCAACATAATTGTTAAACATAATGCTAATTATATCTTGGATAAATTAAAGTAAGATTTGTATAATTAACTTAATGAAATTATTAAGAAGTTTGGAAGATTAAAACCAAGATCAGATAAGCGTTCGTATTAAAATCAACATACTTGCAAAATATAATTACGGAACTTCTAATTTTCCTTGTCAGTCGACACTATGATTATTGAATTAATTTTACTATATGAAGTTATGAACTTTCAAAGATATTTAGAACATGCAAGTTTTTCTTGGAGAAGGTGGATAGTTCTATTTGTGGTATGACATGTTATACGAAGTAGTTAGTTTCTCAAGCTTCAAATCCCATGTAATATAATTAGTTTATTAAATGAGTAGTTATATATGACATGGTGTTTAAAACTTTTTATGAGTGATGTATATATATGAGTGATGCTGAGCGCCATAAATAGGTAGGGGAAGAAGAGAGAGTGCAATAGTGCATGACTTAACTCATTTCTTTTAGCCGGGACAGCCCATTAAAAAAATGATCTTCAAGACGTGCTTGATCTTGCTAGCTTCACTGGCTGCAATTTCAGATTCTTCACCGGAAGAGCATCAGGCACTCTATGTGATTCACATGGACCGGCAGGCCACGAAGATGACGACATTCTCGAGTTCCTTTCGCACTCCCCGGAGATGGTACGAGGATGTTCTCAGCTCAGTCACTACTCAGTTCTCTGCTGCTTCCCGATCACCGCCACCTGAGTTGCTCTATGTTTATGAAACTGCCCTTAACGGCTTCGCCGCAAAGCTCTCCAGCAGCCAACTTGAATCACTGAAGCGGATCAATGGCTTCATATCTGCCATCCCGGATGAAATCCTGACCCTCCACACCACACATTCGCCTTGTTTCCTCGGTCTTAGGAACGGGAAAGGTCTCTGGACAGCCCGAGCATTAGCCTCTGATGTGATAGTAGGGGTCGTGGATACTGGAATATGGCCCGAGCACGCGAGCTTCCGTGATGATGGAATGACCTCTTTGCCCTCTCGTTGGAAAGGCACGTGTGAGGCGGGAACACATTTCGCCCCATCAAACTGCAACAACAAGCTCATAGGAGCAAGGATCTTTTACAAAGGATACGAGGCCATTGTGGGAAGAATCAATTGGGACGAGGAGTATAAGTCTCCCCGGGATTCGCAAGGGCACGGAACGCATACCGCTTCCACCATAGCGGGGGATGTTGTGAGAGGAGCAAGCCTCCTAGGCTTGGCGAACGGCTCGGCTGTTGGTATGAAATACACATCAAGAATTGCAGCATACAAAGCTTGTTACTTACTAGGCTGCTCAAGCACTGATGTCTTAGCTGCCATAGATCAAGCTGTTCTAGATGGAGTCAATGTCATATCCCTCTCATTGGGAGGCTTATTACCAAAACCGTTTTACACCGATAACATTGCAATAGCTTCATTCGGAGCGATCCAGAAAGGGGTCTTTATATGCACATCAGCAGGGAATTCAGGGCCATTGGATTCAAGTGTTGGCAACACTGCACCGTGGATCATGACCGTCGCTGCTAGCTCCATCGACCGAAGCTTCCCTGCCATTGTTGAGCTTGGCAATGGAAACATTCTTCGCGGGCAATCATTGTACTCTGGCAAGCCTACAAAGCTGCTTCCACTAGTTTATGGGAAAGGTCAGTAATCTTAATTCCTCAAATATATGAGTCACTCCTTCTCATTTGATCTTAATTGAGCTCTATTTCAGTTCAATCCTTAAAAGTCAACCTGACGGAAGAGTCGCTTTACTAGCTTTACAATCCTCTTATATAGCCAATTTTGTAAATCAAGTGCATTCAGGGGCGGACCGTAGTACAGACCCAGGGGGGCAACCGCCCCCTCAACAAAAAAAATTCTAGGGTATATATACAGGGAAAATAATTTTCGCCCCTCAAAAAATAATTTTCGCCCCCCAAAAAATATTTTGAACCCCCCCAAGACGGATTTCCTGGGTCCGCCCCTAAGTGCATTTGGAACTTATTATATGCTTGATCAACCAACCCCTCACAAAAAATGCAGGTCGAAATGGTGCAGAATTTTGCATCAATGGATCCCTGTCTTCAAGGCAGGTTAAGGGAAGGATTGTGGTTTGTGAAAGGGGAAGCAATGGCAAAGCTGAAAAAGGAGAAGTGGTGAAAAGAGCTAGAGGAAGTGGGATGATAATCCTAAATAGAGAAACAGATGGGGAAGAGGTTTATGCAGATCCACCCCTGTTGCCAGCCACTGGTTTGGGAGCTTCACCGGCCATTGCTATAAAACAATACATTAATAACACTAATAAATCAACAAAAACTGCAACTGCTTCCATTAAATTTTTAGGCACGGTTTATGGGAACCGGGCCCCAGTTATGGCTTCATTTTCATCTAGAGGGCCCAGTGTGGTTTCCCCAGAGATCATCAAGCCCGACGTAACGGCACCCGGGGTCCACATTTTGGCAGCCTGGCCCGCGAATGTCGGGCCCACATTGCTCAAGAATGACACGAGGAGTGTCGAATTCAACGTCCTTTCGGGGACTTCTATGTCTTGCCCTCATGTTACTGGCTTAGCCACCCTTCTAAAATCTGTCCACACAAACTGGTCGCCCGCCGCAATAAAGTCCGCTATAATGACTACCGCTTATACCCTTGATAATAGGGGAGCCCCCATAACAGATTCTGTTGCGGGGAACTCCACGTCAGCTACCCCTTTCGTCTTCGGGTCTGGCCACGTGGACCCTGAAAGGGCAGCTGATCCCGGCTTAGTTTATGACATTTCAACCCAAGATTACCTCAACTATTTATGCGGGCTGAACTATGATTCTACCCAAATTACACTTGTTTCCCGAAGAAAATTCACTTGTCCGACAGGGAAAATTCCTCACCCCGGTGATCTAAACTACCCGTCTTTTGCAGTGAATTTTTACGGCGGTAATTCCAGCTACTCTTTCAAACGGGTCGTGACGAACGTTGGGACTCCTAGAAGCGTCTACGCCGTTTATATTACGGAACCGGCTGGAGTGTCGGTGGTGGTGAAGCCTAGAGTGTTGAAGTTTAAGAAGTTGGGGGAGAAAATGAGTTATAGTGTTAAGTTTGGAAGACGTGGTGGGGGTGACCATCACTCATTTGGATCCCTGGTTTGGAAGTCAACAAAGTATGCTGTTAGAAGTCCCATTGCAGTCACCTGGCTATAGATTGTATGAAGATTGTACGATTCATTTCAAATTAATTTATTTCATTTTAAATTATCAAAGTTTATGAAATCTGTAACTATGGGAGACTTAGAATATAGTTTAACAAGTTTACAACTCTAACTAGAGTTGTAAGCACAACTAAAAAAAATATTCATTCGTCACTTTTATCAATTTATATATATGCTTTTGATAGGTTGGATCGATTAACCAATAAAATAGTGAGATATTCACAAAACATGTTAAAGAATCCGTGAGATATTCCATGGTTATCAAAATTCACCAAGTTTTTAGTGTATATTTTATGGCATTTTCAAGGATCACCAATGAATACCTCAAGAAAAGCTCCAAACAATTCAATCCGACAAACTAAAGAAAAATGTGGATCTCCCTATTCTAAAAAGCCTCAAATATGTACATTAAGAAATAAAACCCAAAATTGTAATAGTTATAAGATTAATAATAATCATTTCAATTTTTTAATTAAAGGTTAGTATTATTATTCAAACATTGTTTGCCTACTAACTATACGTAGCTATCGCATATTCTTCTTTTCATATCTTTCCTAAATTATTTTTTGGGTAAATTTACTTTTGGATCTAAATATACTCTTTGTCTTCATTCAATCTTTATAGAAACCAGAGAAGATCAAAGCAGAACTTTTGCATTCTTGCCTAAATGTGTATTCGGTGGGATAGTGCTGTTTTTGGAACCTCCTACAATTTGGTCTCTGTCCAAATCCTTTGCAGCAAATACAGATTGAAATAAGCGTATTATTACCTTTCTGATTTTCATATATTGATGGCAAACATTGAAATAGATTAGTTCTAAAATATTCCAATTAAGATTAGGGAATCTCAGTTAATGTCTTCTGGATACGTCTTGGTCATTCATGTAAAATTTCATATTTTTCATATAAAAATGCAATCTTTATGCAAGTAATTGAGAAAAAGATATGAAGCCTTTCAAAGAGCCTCCATATCATGATGAAACAGGAGATCAATTGTTTGTGATTATGCCTAGAAGATAAATAAGAAAATGTACTGTCTATAGTGATGGAGAACTATAATAATACCCAATCTACATACCAGTATGGTAATGGTAATGCCTATGGGTATCCCACCATCCCACCTGGAAATCAAGGCTACCCTCCATACCCATACCCCCAATACCATTATTATCCACACCCTTACCCAAACTATGCATTCCCACCAGGGGTCCAATCCCCCCCTCCAGCATCAGCTCCTATTGGATACCAACAAGGGACTGTAGAATATGGATACCTTCCAGCCCCAGCACAATCTCCCTCATGTGTTGTTCCTTACCCATGCTACATTTATCCTACTCCTCCTCTTCCAAGTTCTTCCCTTCAATATCAACAACCATTGAGAGGGAATGACTTTCCCATCCTTCAAAGACAAAATTCGTCCTTTTCAAGATTGGAGACGTCTTCTATATCATCCGGTCCCCATCACACCCCTTCCTACTCAAACTCATCAGTTGAAACAGAACACAGCAAGGGTTTGAGGCTTGTACCATTCACTACCTCTAAAACTACTGTGAAACTGCTCATGCATGGGAATTTGGATATTTGGGTGTACGAAGCAAAAAACCTCCCAAACATGGACTTGTTCCATAAAACCATAGGTGACATGTTTAACAAGCTTCCAGGGAACATGAGCTCAAAGATTGAAGGACACATGAACCGAAAGATCACAAGTGATCCCTATGTCACTATTGCATTGTCTGGTGCAACAGTTGGTCGGACCTACGTGATAAGTAATGACGAGAATCCGACATGGATGCAACATTTTAATGTGCCGGTTGCACATTATGCTTCTGAAGTGCATTTCATTGTGAAGGACGATGATGTGATTGGGTCCCAGCTTATAGGGACAGTGGCAATTCCAGTGGAAAACATACACGGAGGGGCGAAAGTTGAGGGTTTCTTCCCAATCCTTTCAAGTAATGGGAAGCCATCCAAGGCCGGTGCTGTTTTGAGCCTCTCAATCCAATACACACCCATGGAGCAACTGAGCATTTACCACTACGGTGTTGGAGCGGGCCCTGAGTACACTGGGGTACCTGGGACCTACTTTCCACTGAGAACGGGTGGGAAAGTCACTCTTTACCAAGATGCACATGTGCCTGATGGAAGCCTTCCAAGTCTAGAGCTTGAAAGTGGGATGGAGTATGTGCATGGTAAATGCTGGAATGATATCTTCAATGCACTAAGAAATGCCCGGAGAATGATCTATATAACAGGATGGTCAGTGTGGCATAAGGTCAAATTGGTGAGAGACAATTCTTCCATGGAAACTTGTACTTTGGGAGAGTTGTTGAAGTCAAAGTCACAAGAAGGGGTGAGAGTGTTGCTTCTCATTTGGGATGATCCTACCTCAAGAAACATCCTAGGATATAAAATGGTGATCTTTTTAGATTTTTACTTATGGAGTTTAAAATTTATCTGTGTTGGAAACGTTCCTCATCTTATTAATTGCTATATGTGCAGGATGGAGTCATGGCGACCCATGATGAAGAAACTCGTCGTTTCTTTAAACACTCTTCGGTTCAAGTGCTTCTTTGTCCCCGTGTTGCAGGAAAGCGCCATAGTTGGATGAAACAAAGGGTAGTTAGCTAAGAATGTGATTTTCACATTGAATCGATATAAAATAAAAATCAATATTTAAGGTCTTAGGTGGGCTACAAGATAGAACCATAAGTGTTAGATTGGGCATAACTCACCGCAAAAGGATACTCAATAGGTAAGGTTTTCCTCATACATATATATTAGTGACATTGGGTTTGGGTAAGTATGCCAAATAAGTAAGCAAATCCCAGTCAAACCAGACTCTGATAGTATATTGAATTGGGTCTAACTCAATTCAAAAGTATTTTTTAAGGTAAGATTTACTTCATACTTATTGGCCACAAATATAGTAAACAACCAATTCGCGACATTTAATTATATGTTAAGAGTCTTAAGACTGTGTGATAGCATGAGAGTAAAGTAAGCTCAATGAGTGATTCGATCCTAGCAAGTCTAAAAAATATGCAAAGATATGTAAAAATTCGTTTATGATCCGATGAGTCGCTACAATTTTTTTGTTAGCAATAGATAAATATTTCCAACATTTTAATGTGAAATCTCGTCTTAATATTTCCAACTGCTGCAGTTTTATTGGTCTACCCGATTTCCAGGAGGTTGGAGTAATATATACACACCATCAGAAAACTGTGATAGTGGATACTGAGGCTTCTAATAATAGAAGAAGCATCACAGCATTTATCGGGGGGCTTGATTTGTGTGATGGGCGATATGATACTACTGATCATTCTATATTTAGAACCCTACAGACTTTTCACTCAGATGACTATCACAATCCAACATATGCAGTAAGATTCTAATTCCTAAATATCTGCCATATATCTAGTTGCCATTATATATAGATAGTGATTCAATCCATTACACTTAGCAAGGGAATGTGTCTTGGTGTCCAAGAGAACCGTGGCATGACATGCATTGTAGAATTGATGGTCCGGCAGCATATGACATCCTGACCAATTTTGAGGAGCGTTGGCTTAAGGCATCAAAGCCTCGAGGCTTTAAAAAACTAAAAAAGTCATATGATGATGCGTTGCTGCGAATAGAGAGAATGCCCGATATTCTTAGTCTTTCTGATGTTTCATGTGTGACTGCAGATGATCCTGAAGGTTGGCATGTGCAGGTTAGAAGCTCTCTCAAAATGATTTCAAGGTTATTAAACTTTGAGGCTATACTTGGTTCCAGGAACATAGTAGAGAATTTGATTAATGATTCTATAAATCTTATGAGCATTTGAATTTCCTGGTGTTTAGTTCTGTATATATTGGAGAGAGAGAGAGAGAGAGTTCAAAAAATATATAAAACTAATTTATTGAGTTCAGTTTTTCTAATTTTCTATCCTTCCAAACCTCCACCTCATTTTCCTCCCTATATTCTGCACCTAGCTTTTTTCGGGTTAGAGCAGACCCTAGGTGTTCATGGCACCAGCTTACATCTGTTTATTCATTCCCGTGCAGATATTCCGTTCCATTGATTCCAATTCAGTAAAAGGCTTCCCCAAGGATCCTAAACGAGCTACAACAAAGGTCAGAGCAAGACAAATATGAAACCATTTCATTTCATAATTATTTCTTTCCCTCCTTAGTTACATTTCTTGTGACTGTTCAACAGAACCTGGTATGTGGAAAAAATGTCTTGATTGACATGAGCATACACACAGCATATGTGAAGGCCATCCGTTCTGCACAGCACTACATCTACATAGAAAACCAATACTTCATAGGTTCCTCATACAATTGGAGTCAATATAGAGACGTTGGTAAGAAAAATTCTTCTTTTCAATAAACATCAGTACAAGATCTTCATTCTTGGGTGGTTGAACATTAGATTTCCCATGCCCCGTGTATCTTAAAGACTTCATTGTTACTTTCCTTGTGAAGGTTTCAGGTTTTATTCTCATACTCTCAATTCAACTAAGATTGATAGTAAGTTGTAAGGGTACTATAGATAGCAACAATTAGTAGTGTATGCGAAAATAAAACTTAAGGTTTTACTTTTTTTGTTCTTCCTAATCTATTATGGTATCTGTTCTAGTTAAGGTTCTACTTTTTGAAAGGTGCCAACAATTTGATTCCGATGGAAATTGCACTAAAAATAGCTGACAAAATAAGAGCGAATGAAAGATTTGCAGCATATATTGTCATCCCAATGTGGCCAGAGGGTAATCCAACTGGTGCTCCTACACAAAGGATTCTTTTTTGGCAGGTACAAAATTAACAACTTAGAGGTGAAATTTCATACTGGATGACATTAGTAGTTGCTTTAGGCAGGGAAAGCTTTGATTAGTTAATGATGATGTTATGTTGCAGCATAAGACAATGCAAATGATGTATGAGACAATTTACAAGGCTTTAGTAGAGGTCGGACTTGAGGATGCATTTTCACCCCAAGATTACTTGAACTTCTATTGCCTTGGCAACCGTGAGGCTCCCGATCCAAGTGATGCCTCAGGAATTGACAATAACGGGCAAGCAAATACTCCACAGGTATATTTCAACTGTTTTAACTTCAAACTATGGTGAATCATTTATGTCGCTCATTTCCTTTGATGTCACATAGTTTCTCATTTTTCTAATGTTATATGGATCTCGCTTTTGGAGTTTACAGAAATTGGAGATTTGAAATTGCTTATGTGAACCAACATTATACCGCTCGTGTTTGTTGTAGTAGTGATGGACCTGATGGTATCTTTGCATTTATTAGCTTCTCAATAGATATTCTTTCTTGAAATTCTTATTTGTACTACACTACTACCCCTCAATTGCATTACTGCTACAATGGCATTGCAGCAAGTTACAATCATTTTCTCGCCGTTCCTGTTTAGTTGGATTTGAAAAGTGCAAAACCGAGAACCAAACCAAGATATGTATTTCATTTTTTGTTCAATTTTCTGTGAGCTTGGGTCAGTTTCAGCTTATTTTGGAATGTCTCGGTCAATGTAGTCGGTTTCTCAAGCATAAATCGTAAACTGAACCTTCTTTGATTTGGTCAATTTTGGTTTTGGCTGGCTCAATTTCAGTTGGCTTGAATTGTCAGTTTTTTTAATATTCAACCCTAGTTACATCAATATTCAAATTTCTAAACTATTTCCAAGATTATTAGTGGCCATTCATACCTGCTATTTTTAATTAATTATAAGCTGAAAATTCCTGGTGGGTCCCTCAATCGTTCTCCTTTGTTGGATTCAGACCCTTAGCAGGAAAAACCGAAGATTCATGATTTATGTGCATTCCAAAGGGATGATTGTGGATGATGAGAATGTGGTCATAGGATCTGCAAACATAAACCAGCGCTCATTGGAGGGGACAAGAGATACAGAGATTGCTATGGGAGCTTACCAACCTCACTATACATGGGCAAGAAAGCGAACAAGCCCTGAAGGGCAGGTATTGTAAACATAACAAGGGCCTTATTTGACAAATAATTGTTAGCTAAATGTCCTAGGCTCCTAGCTGTTGTGACATTCTAATAGCATTATCAAAAAGCCATATTGTTTTGTCCAACACCTTGGGAGGTAAAAGCCGCTTGTGAGAAAAAATCTACAAGCTTTTGCGAAAAGCTTCAGTTAAGCTTTTTGTAAAAATAGCTTTTTTACAATTTTACCGAATAAGCTCCTCATATAAGCCCATTTACCAAACTAAAAGAGGTAGCATTTTCAGCTTTTGAAACCCTTAATGCCAAATAAGATGTAAGTTAGAAAGATAGATCAACCTGTAACAAGTTAACAACAGATCCCCTTCATGGCTTCATGTGTGTAAGAATATTTGCATTGTTCAGATTTATGGGTACAGAATGTCTCTGTGGGCTGAGCATCTGGGAGTAGTGGACGAGTGCTTTAAACAACCAGAATCCTTAGAATGTGTTAGGCGCATCAGATCAATGGGAGAAGCCAACTGGCAACAATTTGCAGCAGATGAAGTGACAGAAATGAAAGGGCACCTCATGAAGTACCCTGTCCATGTTGACCGGAAGGGCAAGGTAAAGCCTCTTTCTGGGTTCCCAGTCTTCCCGGACGTTGGAGGTAGCATAGTTGGATCATTTCTTGCTATTCAAGAAAATCTCACAATCTGATTACATCGTCATGTTTCTCTTTTTAGAAAAAGCAATAACTACTCACAAAAGCATCCAAGAATAATCTTGTTTATAGTGTATTCATACATTCATTCATATGAATAATGTACAGAGAAAACGTAGTTGGTCTTATTTGTACAGATTTTGGACAAGCGTAAGAGTATCATAATATACAAGAAATCTCAATGCTCCAGATGGGAGCCTGACATAGCTTATTATTATGTTATAAGTAGAATATCTGAATATGTGGCTTTAGACTTATCCAGAATGGGACTGAACGCCATTGCTTTCATAAAATTCATCAGATCAGCCAGATAACCCTCAAAAACGGGTTCTAAGTTGCAAATAAAATATATCCATGTGTTGCCCATCAAGATAGGAAAGTGAGAACAAAACTTGGCAAAATAAGATACACTTTACTCAGTAAAATTCATTGCACGATTATTGTAGTTCAGGCAGCTATTGGCCTATTGGATACAACAAAATTGATTTAATCTTATCTGAAATAGGCCTCTTAGAATGTCACTGATTTCTTTAAACAGTAATTTTACACATTATGCTACATCCGTATTAGGAGCCAGAGAAATAGGTGTACCGAGTCTGGGCTCCAATAATTAGTTCAACAAGTTTTTCTGCAAATAAAAAATATATTATCAATGGATAATTCCACAAGTAAGACTAAAACGTAACACAGTTTTCAGAAACACCAATGTTGTTTATGAAAATAGGACTTCTGCAATTTTAAAAAAGAATGGGTATTCTCCTGAAGAACTGTTTAAGTCCTGCTTTTAGCATAAATCAAGGATATTTATATTTCTGCACAAGACGGATGTTTTACTCCTATTTGCTGTATTTTTTATTTAATTCAACAGGGGCAAGTTAGGTTAGTTAAAAACTTACAAAGTCAACCTTATTCTAGATGCATTTAGCATTTTACTGTAAACAAAAAAAAGCATACCCAAAGCTTACATAATTCTAATTTGTAAAAAGCAAACCTGTAAAAAAACCAACAACAGGAACAAATTCTACTAGCTTTTGAGTACTCTCAAGTCTTTGCCTGAAATAACCAATAGCATTACTGCATTAGCACAATTCCCCCCAACCCAAGTTGGGTTAGGATACAAAAAGAGTATACAAATTGTAAGAACTGAGAATTGAGAGAAAAAATATACCGGGTATATCTAGTGAAAAATGGATCTCTCATAACATAAAGTGCCCAGAGCATCTTCCGCCTTTTCATCTGTACCAAACATCCAAACCACATCAACTACACCATCTTAACATTTTAAAATAGGGAGTTTTATTATAATATTACTAAAATAGAATTCATGGACAAAAAGTATGATCACTGGTAACTCTCACTGCAAAAGTATCACTATGGTCCCTTCTGATCTAAATCGGTCATCCTCACGTTCACTACTGTCAATGTGAAACTATGGCTCACTGTGTATCTATTAAAAGTTACTGTTTGCCCATTTTTAAGTCATATATATTTGTTGTTATTTCTAAAAAGCTCAAGTTTCGATGTAACAAACACTTCTAACCTCGTCCTTCTCAGAGTTGGAAAGTTGAAACTGCGGGGTTTTACTCCTCTTTGGACACAAATTGATAAAAGAGAGAATGCAATTTCCAATGACATCCACAGCTAAAGAAGTGACCCAAGGAAACCATGATCGAGCCCCATACTTCCTTACCAATAATACATAAATAAGAGGTCTTAGAACAAACATGACCTCCCCTGTCAAAAACAAGCTCCCAGGAAATCCTTTCTCAGACAAGAAAGTTGAAAGGGTAGGTTTCATCACCACGGCTATAGTGACCATATGCATAAGAAGAAAAAGAAAGGTGAGTTAATATGTAAAGCATGCAGTCAGACGTCATTACTTTAGCAGAGCCAAAAAAGAATTAGTACTTGGAGGCTCCACAATAGCTTGTTGGTGTCGAACCCTATGCAACCACGTTGGTTCTGAAACCATCCTAGCTTGTTGACCAAAACTATTTAGGGCAGATAATGCCCTTCCTTCAAAATTATATGAGTTGGGCCCACGGAAACTCTTTGGATTAGGCATTTGTAGGACTCCATTCCTTTCTTTGAGACTAGAAAGATCATTATTGTCTTCAAAGTTTTCAGTTTCGCCACCACGCAAAAGCATCTTATATCCACTATTCCTAAAAACAATCAGCCTAACCACTGCCCTGAATTACATAAAAGAAAAAATAATGAAATATTCAATATGTGAAATCAAACTTCTTATCACACTCTAGACAAAGTGACCCCTTACTTGACAGCCTCTGCAACAGCTATGAAATTCCATTTCCGCTCTTCTCCACACATTTGTTCAGCTGCAACTTCAACCAAGGTCTCCAAGTCCTTCAACAATGTAAGGCATAATGACAAAGGGAGAAAAGAGGGCTCTGGAGAAGGTGTTGTTTGTATGCACTTTGGAGTTGTCTCGATTATGTGCTCATTTATGGTAGTCAACATTCCCAGAATTGATGATACTACAAATTTTAGCTTAGTTATTAATTAAAAGTCTAAATAACAATGTAAAATAGTACATAGTTCTCTACTTGGTGGTTAATAAGCATCAAGAAGAAGCTTAATGTTACCAAAAGTTCACAAAACCTGCTTCTGGCCCAGTCTCAGAACGTCCAAACTCTTCTGGAAGAAGCCAGGTCAATCCCTGAAAACAAATTTGCTCCAAATGGATAAATTTTGATCACACGTACAATCAAGCGGAGGAAAGCAAAAGCATGACAGTACAGTGAATCAGTGATAGCCAATATTTAAACTCTTCAGCTCATTTAATGTACTAATAAATCAAATAAATACGAAATCTGGACAAACCCTGACGGGTATGAATCTAGAAACAAGATGATCATAGATTCCGGAAATCCAACATCTAAGTCATTACAGAAGAAGAAAAGATGTGCAACAGAGCACGTGTATAAATCTCTACTGAGTGAGCTTGTAGTAGGGGGCTTACGTTAATTAGGGAGCCCAATTGCCGTACAAAATCTCGGTTGGTCCTAACCCATCTCTTGTAAGCCTCCATAGTCTCCAAAGGTTGAATCTTTGGTTTGGTTTTTCTCGGCTAATCAGTCGAAACTGAGCACTATTGGCTTTTTGACCCGGTAGCACGCCGGAATCAAACCCCACGGGAAAATCAAAAGGAACAAGATCAGTCACGGCGGTGCGCCCAAGGAACTCGCGGTGGTGGAGAGAAAGCGCCCTGCCTCAAGTCCAGGACGGGATAGGAATAGACATATACAAAACAGGGCCGGCCCGCCCAGCCAGCCCGCATAAATTAGCGGGCTTGGGCATATATATTTACCCACCGGCCCGGCCCGGACCCGACCCGCAACAACATATGGGCGGGCTTAGGTTAGGGTGTAGGCCTGTTCGGGCCGATAAGCCCGGCCCGCTACATTTAGTATATATACATATATGTATATATATATATATATATATATATATACTAATTTATGTATTTATTTACATGTACACATGTATATTTTTATATTTACTAATTTATCTGTATACATATTTATAGTTTATTATGTTTAAATTTAAGTTTTTAGTTCTTAACAAATAGTCCAACCAATATAATATCTACTTTTGTACTTAACGATAATACTTTAGGCATGAATTTTAAATTTTACATATAGTTTCTCATTATTATTTTTGTGTAAATATTTTTTGTGTATGTGATGAAAGGCCTATATACATTTGACCAGAAAAAGCGACTATATTATTAATAAATCATTAGCCAAAGGGCTTATAATACAGTCTGGAACAAAATCGTAACTAATACTATGATCTGAGATAGAGACATGCGTTCTCGCCAAAGCGTGAGCCGCACGATTCGCAGATCGTCTACAGAAAGAGATATTAAAACATCTCTGACTATTAATTAAAAATTGTATATCATCAAGGAGTAAATTCATATATGCTAAACCTCCCCCTTGTCTGACTCCCCGAACCACCGTTTGAGCATCTGTTTCAACATCCACAGCTTCCCAACCCTCCTCAATTGCCCCTTTAAGTACCTCTCTCACCCCAAAGGCTTCAGTTTCCTCCGGTGACCATTCGGCCTTGCACGGACCTCCCCCTGTCTTAATAAACTCACCCCGATCATTCCTTGCCACCCAACCCCATGCACGAATGCCTCGAGTCGAATCCACTGATGCGTCACTATTTATTTTAATCTTCCCCGCCTGCGGCCGTACCCAGCCACCAGGCCCCGACTCCTGTCTGCTGCAACTCCTTCCTCGTCCCATTTGCTGTGCATCCCTCCAAGCATTAAGGATGCTCGCACAACAGTTGAGCAGCCCAGCTGATTGCTGCCAATCCCCTTCCCAAACCAGCGAGTTACGCCGCTTCCAAAGACCCCAAGTTATCATTGCAACCCTGCATTTCCTCTCCGCATCCGTCCCTGACAGCAAATGCTTGAGCCAATCCTCCACCCCAAGTGTATCCATCCCCGTATCAATTCCTGCTGCGGCCCAAACTTCAGCGGCTTTAGAGCACCTCCGCAGAGCATGGTCAGTTGACTCATCCTCCTGTAAACAAGCTTTACAAACAACTTGTAGCGGAACACCCCGTTTAGCTTAATTAGTAAAAGAAGGAATAGATCCATCCAAGACTTGCCAGATGAAAGGCCTATATACATTATAAGCGTATTAGCAATTTTTTAAATGTTGTAATATTATTTATAAAGTATTAAATAAATTATATAATTTTGAAAAATTTAAAGTCTTCCCGGGCCCGACGGCCCGGTGGACTACCCGGCCCGCTCTTACGGGCGGGTATGGACATGGGGTTAGGCCCGTTTTTGCGGGCCGGGCCGGGCCCGCCCACACACGATGGGCAGAAAACTTATGAAAAGCCCGGCCCGAGCCCGGCCCGAACCCGCTTTTGTGCAGGTCTAGATAGGAATATGACTATATTATTTACTCCGTATAATACTCTATCTCCCCTTGATAATCATATTTTAATTTGTAATAAATTCAAAATCTAATAAAAATAATTTAACTTACACAAAAAATCGTAAAATAATATTAAAAAAAATTCTAAAATACTTTTTAAAAAAATCAAAAACATAAAAGTTAAAAATTAAAACCTTTAAAAATAAATAAAAATATATATATAACACCTTAAAAATTAGAAGAAAATTTGGAGGCTTTTCCCACAGTCTCGACTACTGCCAACAGTTTTATCTCTGATCAGCTAAACATGCCATTTTGTGTAAAAATTGTCATTTTTCCATGAAAATGTCATGAATATGGCATTTGTACTCTTGAAAATGCCAAAACATTTCTCGAAAATTGCTATCAAGATGGCATTTTGACATATGTTGACATTTTTTCGGGTGATCGAAGCTGGTGGTGCCAGGAGGTTGCTGAGGCGACAACATAGGCCTACATATTTTTTTATATTCTTTACATTTTGTATTTATTTTATTTTAAAAGTACTTTATTTTATAATTTTTTCCCAATTTTTTTTATTACTTTTAAATAATTTTTATTTTCGTTTTTTTTTATTTTTTACATGTTTATTATAAATAAAGTTATATTTTTCACTTTATATTTTAATAATTAATGAAATATGAATTGTATTAAAACAAAGAAAGGATAGACTTGGAAAGCTAATCCTATTTAAGAAAATTTTAAGATATGGCCCTATTTTGGAAATTAAAGTTTCATTTAGTCCTATTTGGGGAATTTTCCCAATAAATTATTAAAAAACATTGTGCTTTGGTATATTTTAGCGCAATGTTTTTCAATAATTTATTAACCAACTTTCTGATTAAATTTTTCTACTTTCTTTTTTCCTTTCAATTCAGGTCAAATCAGAAGGATTCAGATCAAATAAAAACTTCTTTGTCTTTTGAAATCTTTAAAACTTGATTAGTATATCATCTGGACTCATTGCTTACTTCCACCCATTTCAAGAACAGTATAAAGTGGTCTATAGAAGTAAGCTCAATTTTAATAGAGCAAAACAATGAATCCAAAACAATAGTTATGAGTAGGGCGGGGCACGTGCAGGGTGGAGGCGGGTAATGCAAAATAAAATGGAACTGCCGGTTCCATTGTCCGGTCCAGTCCAGTCCGGCTATTGCAATTTTCAAAAAAATAGGAACCAGACCTTACCCGGCCCGTTTGAGACGGGTTGGTCCGGTCCGGATTTTACAGTTTCTCATATCTTAAAAGTAGTAAAAAGTCACGAAGTTTCAAAAATCAATAAACAATAATATTAGCAAGTTTCATAATAACAACATAGTGATGCACATGTAACACAAATGACAAATCCAATACTTCATAACTTCATGTATCCAAGTTTCAAATAATTAAAGAAGTTCCAAAAATCAGCAACATAGCCAAAATACACATTTTCTAACATCTGAATTTAAACATGTTGTCTAACATCACATATTTAGGTGATTTTTTAATAAATTTTCATTATCAGCCAAAGTTGACACAAACATGGGGGTGGTAAGCACAATATGTTTTTTCAAGAAATTTTAAGAACAATATTATAAAAATAAATATTACAAAATTATTTTTGAAAAATAATTAAATTCCATAGAAAGGAATAATTCAATAACAATAAACAGTAATAAGAAATTTATTTAAAATGTAAGCAGTAATTTGAAAACAAAAGGATGTTACTGCAACTCAATTTAAAATCCTATTTATAGCAAGAGAAACAAACTATATCAAAACCAATTATCACAAAACTATTAATAAATTAATATACAATATATAACGGGCCGGGCCGGGTACCCAACATTTTTTTTATTTTGGAACTGGCATGGTTCTTTAAAAAAAGTACTCGGCTCTACCCGGACCGTTTTCTGGCAACAAAAATGGAACCGGCCCGTTTTGAACCCGAACCGCCATTACCCAGACCGTATCGTGATTCCAAGACTCGTTTGTCCACCCCTAATTATGAGTGTTTTTCACAATTAGGGAATGTTTGCAAGGGGCTTAAAGACAAAAAATTGGGTGGGAAGCTATGGCGTGTGTTTTTGGACACCAACTTTTACTTGATTTTAAGTAGATTTAAGTGAAAACTAAAAAAAACATGAACAGTGATGCTTTTAAATGCTTCTCACTTTTTTATTACATCCAAAAAAACACTTTTTCCTCGAAGACTCTATTTTAGTTTTTCAAAATCATTTTTCTTCATAAACATTATCAACTTTTACTCTATGTTTAAAAATCGACCTGGAACCCGGTAACCCGGACCAAAGCCCAGTTTGGTTAGTTAAAAACCCGAAAGTGGGTGAAAATCAGAAAACCCCGGCTGACCCGGAAAATCCCAATCCAGACCTGGATCCGAACCCCCCACCCCCCACCCCCCCACAAAAAAACGGTTTTGGTTGTTTTCCAAAAAACATTTTATTTTAAAGCATTTTAACCAATTTCAATACCCTAACAAGAAAACATATGCAATATATTTATGTACTACTTATTTGTTTAAGAATAAAAATCATGTCAAATTATATAATAAATGTACAATAAAAATAACAAATACAGAGTATCATTATATATTTTAATTAGATCAAAATAGTATTTTGAAATATTATGAAACTATTTTAACTTTTAAATGTTTAGTAACTATTATCATTAGTTAATTATTAATTTATTATGCGATTTTTTATTTTAATTATGTATACAATTATATGTCATGTTTACTATTATATGATTGATCGGTTTTGTGGCGTTGACTGGGTTGACCCGATCAGGTTTGGATTGACTCGTGACCCAGTCACGCGGTCGGGTCGCTTCCCTGTCCGGTTTCTTAAACACTTTTACTATAAATTACTTCTCATATAGGTTATAAAAACACTTTTTAAAAGACTAACAACCCTCAATATGCCACTGCTTTACGCCAACTAATTAATTTTGACAAATCTAGTGTGCGGTTTATCGCAAATGTGGCATGATGATAGATATTTTTTAAGTAGCATTTTTGGCATTCAAGAGAAGCAAGGAGGAGGAAAATATTTGGGTTTACCCTCATTGGTTGGTCGAAATAAAAAAGAAAATTTTGGTTACATAAAAGATCTGAATTTGTCATTTTATATCCAAAGCCGGAATGGAGGTGTTGTAAAAAATGGTGGTTCTAGCCATGCCTCAGTTTTTCATGAATGTTTTTTACTCCCAGCTGATTTGTGCAGCAAAATTGAAAGAATCGTGAATGTTTTTGGTAGAGGGGCCATATCTTTAAGGGAAAGAGAATCAGGTCGAAAGCTTGGGGTGATATTTGTATTCCAAAATTGAATGGTGGACTGGGCTTTGAGAAATTAAGAGAGTTCAATATTGCCATTTAGGCAAACAGGTGTGGCGCCTACTAAAGAACCCGTCTTCACTGGTTGCTAAAATTCTTGTTAAGACCTGAGGTTCCATCCCAAAAGGTCAATCTGATAGGAGGAGTAATCCAGATCTTAATATAGCACTTAGTTCCTTCACACGTTTCCGGTGTGGGAATTCAACACCCCTCCTCACGACCAGACACTTCGTCTGGATCGTGTAATCATTCATTTTTTTCATCGGTCTGTTTTTTTTATCCGGCCGGTTTTATAATCGTGTCATCATTTTTCATAAGGCCGGGGCCCCACACCATGGATTGATTTGGCTCTGATATCATGTTAAGACCCGGGGTTCCATCCTAAAAAGTCAATCTGATAGGAGGAGTAATCCAGATCTTAATATAGCACTTAGTTCTTTCACACGTTTCCGGTGTGCGAATTCAACAATTCTAAAAGCCAAATATTTTAATCGAGACAATATCCTTGGAGCAAAGTGCGGAAGTAACCCTTCTCCTATTTGGCGTAACATTGTGGCAACTATTTCGGCTGTCAAGGAGGGGTTGTGCTTCCATATTGGGAGCGTAAAATCGGTGCGGGTTTGGGAAGATAATTGGCTTATTACTCTTGAAGGAGGCCGACCAGCTAGTAATGTTATACCAGAATTGAAGATGATTGTGTTCGGTCTCTAATGACGGAAGCGGGGACTGATTGGGATTTTGATATTTTGGCAGATTTATTTAATAAGGAAGACATGGACTTAATTGTTGGCATACCCCTTCGGCCCGAGCATGGGGAAGATGAATTTGTATGGTAGAAGCTAGGGGTATTTATTCCGTTTAGAGTTGCTACCGCATGCTGACCCGAATCGAAACAAATTTGGAAGTGGCATGGGCTAAAGTGTTGAAGCTGTAATTACCATCGAAGGTTCAATTTTTCTTTTGGCAGGCTTGTGTGGACTGTTTGCCTAGCAAACAGTTGTTGGTGCAGCGGAGAGTCCCGATTTGGCCGATATCTCTAGCCAGCAAAAAGAGAGCTCTTTGCATATTTTTTGGGACTATAGCTTAGCCAGGGGAGTTCGGCACAACAGGGGCACAAACTTTATGCGCTGGATGGCGGGCAACTTTGGGGAATGGGCTGCGGTGGTGGCTAATGGTTGTTCTAAATGATGACTTTTTAAGGTTTGCCATGACATGTTGGACCTTGTGGAAGATTAGGAATGATAAGACTTGAAAAAGTATAAATTTCAATTGGAAGAGAGTTATTGCCTGTGAAAATGTCACGCTAGTGGGGTGGATGGAGGCAAATCAACAGCAAACTGGTGGAGGATACTACACGGTCCAACCAACGAGTGCAATGGAAGCAACTGGAGCCGGGGCATATCAAAATAAAAGTGGATGTTGCAGTTCAAAATGCAGGTGATGGGGGGGGGGGTTGGGGGGTTGGGGATTGTAGCTCAAGACGAAGAAGGAGTTTTCATCGCCCGCGGAGGGTGAAGCGAGAGGGACGCTTTTCTCCGGGGTTGACGGAAGCTATGACCATTGAAAAGGCAATCTGATGGGCTTTTGAGTCAAGTTGGAGGCATGTCATAGTGGAGTCTGATGCCCAACAAATAGTGCGGGGCAATTCTCGGGAGCAGGGGCGAAGCCAAGACACTTATACAGATTGGGCCGATACAAAGAATATTTTTGGAAAATCTGTTACACGGAAATTTTTACACGAAAAACACAGACTTTTTTTAAATTTGGGCTAGAGTCAGCCCTCCGCTAGCTACACCCCTGCTCGGGAGGATGGTCTTCAATATAATGATACTATTTTCATAGAGATTAGATATAGGATGTCAAAGTTTGTTAATATACGTGTCTTGTATGTGCATCGATCAGCGAATCAGGTTGTCCATATTTTTACTAGGGAAGCCTGTCCAGAGTCTGACAGTATTTGGTGGGGTTGTTTATCCAATTGTATTATTCATGCTTTAACTTTTGACTAATAATAATAAAGTTATTTGATTCTAAAAAAAGGACTAGCGGCCCTTGCAAGCACTCCCTCAAGTGTGTATTGATGAAAATGGATATGTGGTAAAGAGGAATGATAAAATAACTTCTTGTCGCGTTGTGCCATTGTCCCATTTTTTTTGGGAAGGAGACTTAAATTGATATCACAACATTAGCATTCAGATAGGGAGTCCAGTGACAAAAGGACCACATACAATCGCCAGCCCTCGAACAAGACTTAGATGTCAATCACCTTAAAAAAAGCAATATAACTCGCCGATCCTATAATGGGCATAAATGAGCCAAAAACGGTTAAAGCAGGTTTCCCATCACCCAATCCTAATGCAAGAAACTTACAATAATAAAAGTAATCAACAACAAAATAAGCAGACTGAACATGAAAAATAAATTGCAAGCAAACAATAAAATTAAAAAGCTGCTTACAAACCCTAGACTCACTCCATGGCGGCGGTTAAGAAGGGGGACAATCCAGCAGTACTGTAGCTTCTTTCTCACCTTAATTCTTCTTCATCATGTTCTCTACCAAGCCTCTTCTGTCACCACCTAACACAGATGACCTCGGATCTAGATCTGTTCCAGCCTCTAGCCCCACACTTCGTTCATGATCTTTGGCCGCCAGAGGCCAATCATCCATCTTCTGTACCTCTACAACCTTCGGCCGCCTGAGACCAAGCATCCTCTTCCCTCCGCTTAATCTCGCCAAAGCGAAAAAAGAAAAATTGCCGCACAATTGATGGCGGAAGAAGAAACCATGTACGTCTAAGCCTGCATACGGCGGCCGCTCCTCGTTAAAAACGATAGCGGAGGAAAAAAAATCCACAGAAAGAGTGGAGGAAAAATCCTCACAACTAAGAGCATAGTCAATGCTAAAACGATAATGGTGCATACGTGACATGAGAAATAACCAATTAAAAAACAATAAATAGAAGATATCTCTCCTTATTTGAAGGATCTTATATCATTTTGGTACGTTTTTTCACAATGTCAAACACAATGTCTAGATGGAGACATTCTGGTTAAAATTGCAGAAAAAAACTTACCAAAAACATATAAGACCATGGAAAGGAGAGAAAAACATCATAAAATCAATATTTTGTGTTTATCTCTTTCATGTTACATGTGCACCGTGCACATTATAGCATTGAAGATGCTCTAAATGCAAAATAAACCTAAAACTTGTAAATGTGTTTGTTAAACCGTATGTTGAAAACTTAAATGATTATGCCATTGTCCCATTTTATCACTCAATACTATCGAAAAACTATCCAAGATTGTTACAGAAAAAAATACTGCGTTTCTGCTCGCTCCAGCTGCTGTGCTGCCCTTTTCCTCCACCCCGGTGCAGCTTAAAAAAGTTAATTTTTCTCCATCCATTGTGCTCATTTGGTTTTTGCAGTATTGTAATTACTGTTTAATTTCTTGTTTTGCTCTAGGGTTTCAGGATTTCGTAAGCCAATACCAGTATCACGAGATATGGACCTGACTCTCGAATTCGGGTATTGTTTATCTACTCAGTATATGAATTCATGGAATTTTTCTTGTATTGCTTCTGTTTAGATGAAAAATGCTTGCGGAAGGGCTTACCTAAATATAAGTCAATTCCATTCTACGTAGTATGTACCAAAAATGTTTTACACTAAATTTATGAAAACTCTCCATTGCATGTTTCTGAATTTTTTTCTGACTGTTTTCATTATATTTCTTGTTCATTAACAAACCAAGCATCGAGTAGTATTTAGATTTAAAAGAAAATGATTATCCCAGCGTGTTTAAGCAGTAAATTTGTAATATATTCTTTTTGCATTGTATATCCGAAGTAACGTCGACACAAGTTGCTTCGCAGAACAAGCATTCAACTCAAATGGAATCACTCTCGAACCCATCACAAAGTATATGACTCTATAGTCAAAACTGGTTAGAATGTGTAACAACTACTTCAAAACCTATATGGTTAAGGTCCAACTGTTTTGCTTCTTTTAGTCGTGGGTAATGTCCAACACATTGTTTGAGAAGATTAAAAATCTATTACAATGTGGGCTAGTAAATTAAAACGAGTTCCCCACTTCTTTTGCTCATCAGATATTCCTCTGCTTAAACATTCTTCTAATTTCTCTGTCGCTACTTACTTGACGATTATGAAATATTGTATTTCAATTTTTAAATTGTGTGATTATGCCTGACATTCTTCTGTGCTACTTGGAAATCTTCATTGCAATTGAACAGAGGTGGATTGGAACTTCTTTGCGATTCTGAGAGGATACATAAAATCTGCATTACACCTGAAGATGGTGGGAAAAAGGTGAATTTTTTTCATTGTGATGACTGTCCTCTCTGTAAACACTTGATTCATTTTATATTCTTCCTTGTTTTATTGTTTTGGTATGTTGTGTTATCTACTCGCCGAGTACTCGCAACTTTGCGGTGGCCTTGCCGTTTAGAATTGACGAATTGTGACTCGGTGTGTTTCGTCTTTCCAAGTTACTCGCCGGGTACTCAGCGAGTTTCTTAACTTGGTGACAACTTTGACTAGGCTAGTTATTCAGCAACCACTAAATGTTTTTTGGGTAAAATCTGAAAAGTTTTAACTAAAGTCGGCTACTATGGATTCTTTTTTATTGTCACTCTGGGATACTATAAGTTTATGAATAATGAGTGATATTTTGAAAATTGGAAAAATAACTTTACAAAGTCAGTCTAAGTTTAAAAGCATTTCATAGATCGGCTCTTACAAGTTAGATGGATGATTTTCTGGAAACCTGTAATGTTTATGATTTTTGCTACTTCATCATTAGGTTATTATTATTTTATTCATCTCTTAGAATTATACTCCCTCTTGGGCAAAGGTTCCCGTTTTGGTTTACGATGTTTGACTGAGCATAACGTTAAGTCGTTAACCGATCCCTATCAATAATAAAATTATTTTATTGAATAAAATTTATATATTCAGAAACTACATTACTTTTTTATAAAGTTGCAGAAAAATTCAAAATTGATAAAAGTTGGATATACTCCCTCCGTCCCGCTATTAACTTTGTGCTTTCCTTTTTGGGCCGTCCCAAAATCATCTTCTCATTTCCCTAAATGGAAAGTTATCCTACATCAAAACAGTGTCAAACAGTGCCAAACAGTGTCATACAGTGTCTAAACAGTGCCAAACAGTGTCTAAACAATAAAGTCAAATTTATTTCCTAAATATGCGTGTAGGTCAAAGGAGGAAGTTAATAGCGGGACGGAGGGAGTATAAAATAAAAGATTAAGAACAATTTAAGTTGACCGTATGAATAGTAGACGAGAACCTTACTCTGGGACGAATGTAGTATAAGACTAATACTCCCTCTGTCCCTTGTAACTTTTCCATCTTTCCTTTTTTGGATGTCCCAAAACCTCTATCACTTCTCTTTTTATTCAATGAATTTGTGGTTTCTATTATTTCTCTCTCCTCTGCACAAATCTTAACCACATAGTTTTTACTTTATTATTTCTCTCTCACTTTATTATTTGTCAAACTTGGCAAAGTTTTGGTCATCTATATTTTTAAATTTAATTAGTATAGGGCCAAATATTCACCGTGTAATCCCGAGTACTAAGTTCTACTCACTCGGCTCTTGACCAAGTTGCTACAGGGTAGTGATTTAGACTACTTAGGTGGCTTGTTTCTGTTGTTTCCTTGCCAGGTCACAATGAAATATTTGCTCTCTTGGGTTTGCAAGAATTTGATCAAGGAGAGGCCTGAAATGTTTATTAAGGGAGACACTGTGTAAGTTGTACTCCAAACACAGTTCATTTAAATTAAGACAACATTTAACATTATTATTCTTTTCAAAGCAACTTCTACCTTTATTTTGTAAACTACATACATTCAAATTACATTCCTTATAAGTTATAACGGTTATTCTTATGTGTTTTTACTTTTTAGATTTGTGCAATTTTAAGTGGGGGGGGGATTTGGTCTATGTAATTGTGAAATTCAATATTTGAAATGCAACGGAGCTCTATGGATTTTATATATTTTTAGAGAACCACATCAGCAGGGACCCTATTTCATTATTGGCATAATACCCCTCATGATTAGTGGTTATCATTATATTGCTCTACGCCAATATTGCAAAATGTGGGGTAATGGGGTTTAAGGATAACCGAATTTTATTGCAACACATTTGGAGCATCGAAAAACAGACTGGTTAGTTCAAGTGTTTGAATTAGTTGTGATTTGCTGCAGGAGGCCAGGAGTCTTAGTCCTCATCAATGATGTAGATTGGGAACTAAATGGGCAGCTTAATGCTGTGTTAGAAGATAAAGATGTCATCATTTTCATTTCAACTCTGCATGGGGGATAAGTATGAAGCCTTTCCAAAATTCCAACTTCTTTTTGTCTTCCGCTTTTGTTATTGACGTGTATCGATGAAGTTTGATTTTAGAAAAGAAATATTTTCTTACCTTTCTCTGTGCTGGTGTAAAATAAAGTTCTTGAATGCGTAAGTAGTTCAAATGTTCATTATGTGCTACTTAAAGTATTTACGTTTGGTGATCAGTATTCTTATGTTTACTCCACATTTGCATTTGTATTATAAGAGAACCTTATCTACTGTTGCTGCAAAGGCAACTTGGCAATTTGATGTCATCATGAACATGGATCATGATCATGATAATCATCACATCATAATAAAATGTAGAAATTATCTTAGTGTTCATGTTGCATCTGCATTTCAGCTTGAACTTCATAAGCAAATTATTATTTGAAACAACACCAAGACACCAGAACACCCCAGGCCCGAGGTCGAAAAGAATATCTATCGAGTCTTGAAGAGGGTGCCCCCAGTGGCCCAGTTTTTGCCCGGCCAGTTCTTAGTCCCCAAAGCTGATCACTTGTAACTGAGACTGGAATTTCTAATTGTGACTGGTTCTTAGACATTCCAGTCTAATTTTTGGTGGAACTGGGATTGTACTTGGGTTGAGCCAGTTCTAGTGCAATTGCTATTATTCCATCATGCCCAACTAGTAGGGATGGCCTCGGGCATGGTTCGGGCCTGGGCCCGGCTGGGCCTCAGTTCAGAAAAATGAGGCCCGAGCCCGAACCGGTGGTGGGCGGTTCCGGGCCAGACCGGGCCGGGCTGGGCCGGGCCACCCGGATTTTTAATTTTTTTTCTTCTCTTATTTAACCCCCTACCCCTCCCCCTCCACCCCAAACCACCCCAAACAACCTCAAATGGCCCAAAATACCTAATCCAACCCAAAACTTAAAAAAACTTCAAAAAAAAAATATTAAATTCCGGCCCAAACCGGGCCCAAACCGGCCGGGCCAGTCCACCAAAACATAGGCCCGAGCCCGAACCGCCCAAAGGCCAGGCCGGTTCGACCCGAACCGCTGGGCCCATCGGTTCCCGGGCCGGGCCAGGCTCAACAGTAACCGGGCCGGGCCGGTTCCGGGTCGGGCCGGGCCGGTTCCGGGTCGGGCCGCCCGGCCCGAGTCCATCCCTATGCCCAAGGTGATTCAATTGCCTGGTTTTGGACTTCTAGTTCAGTTCCATACGGGTCCAGACCTAGTCTTGAACACCTATGTTGAATTGAGACCTTTTCTTATGTTAAGCTCCTATCATTATAATCAAACTAATAATTTTCATATTATGCTTTTGTCCAGGAAGTGAGTCCATAACTTACGTTCATTAAATATACAATTTGATTTCTAAGTTTCCTTCAAATCCATTTTTGAAGTTATACCTCATACATAGTAAAATTTTCTACTTGCTACAATAAAAGAGTTACAGTTCATAGAAGTTTTACATGCGACATAGTTCTCGAATCTCGACCAATCTGCTTCTCTTGATGCAATAATATGGAGGGGTGTCTGGAACCACCAAATTTGTCTCATCATTGGTACAAGGCTGCAGGGAGTGGATAAATCAGCATCGTTGATCCCTAATTCACCGATCAAAAGGGTTGTTGAATTAGTGAAGTGCAAAAGTGTGAAGACAAAATTTAGATCTATGTTTTAGATTGAAATTGAAAGCGAAGTATTTGATTTTGATGAAGGATAGACATTTTACCTCATTATATTTATTAAGATGATTAATGTTGCGGTTATTAAAAAAATGTCAAAAGGGGAGGGTGACGCGGTTATTTGGAAAATATCAAAAAGGGAAGGGGTTGTGATTTTTAAAGAACGGAGCAAATATCTCAAACGCTGTTGAATGCTTCACTTTCTTTGCTATACTTCCCCCAATGTACTTATTTAAAAAATGGATGAAAATTCATCCATTAGAGCATCTTCAATGCTCTAATGTGCACTGTGTACATGTGGCATTGGACATAGTTACATAAATATCAGCAAATAAATTATTTCTCCTTATTTGAATGATTTTATACAATTTTGATAAGTTTTTTCCTCCAATTTCAACATCTAGACTGTCTTTTGACATTGTAAAGAAAAACTTACCAAAATTGGAGTGATATTATTTTTATAATTAATATTTATGTAGTTATTTCTCATGCCACATGTGTACTATGCACGTTATAACATTGGAGATGCTCTTACAATCTATTAGTACCGGTCTGATAGTTAAATAAGAGAATAGTGTTCACATTTTAAAGGCGACTCATTGGTGAAGTATAATTGTTTTGGAAGGATATTTGCTTATATTAAAATAAAATGCAACCAAAATAATACATCTGCCTCAAACCGAAAACTCAAACTCCCACTACACTCAAAATTTGAAGATCCTCTCGCTCTATGATTAGACATAAAATTAGTCACCCTGAGATGAGGATACCAAATCGCAGACCATGTGAGAGCTTTGAAGATAAATACGGTTTTTGGAGACACAAAGCTTCTGACCGGGGTGATAAACACCCTAACAACACAACTAACTCCCTTCCAACCCAAAATATTTTTGAAAGCAACATAGTGAAACAAAAACAAATAATTATGAAAACTAACACAACAAAAAATTAAAATTCTTCGGGTGTCCAAATCCATACTGGAAATGTTAACTTCCAATCCTTAACATCTTTGTAACTCTCTGGCGGTGGTTTAGGAGGGGACCAACCATCGACACTTTATCTTCCCACACAGTCACCCACTTAATCGGCCAAATCAATCACGACAATCCTCCAATCGATCGATTGGGGCCTAAATTCACCCCTTTGAACTCAAAACCACCAGTGATCCACGTGGATCAACCACCGCTGGTGCAACTTCCAAACAAGTCGACAACTAAGCCAAGGTAGCCAGAACAAGCATCTCAAAATCATGCCTCGCAATCCTAGGCGACACAGATCCATGACCACCTCCAATTCTGTTGAACGCTATTGACATCACTCGCACCAAAAGAAGATGGCAAAATCACCAAGAGAAAGCTGCACAAAGAAAGCCCTACACGAGAAGAATCACGAGGGAAAACCTAGTCGCAGATGGGGATGCGGATGAGAATGCTAATACAAAGTTTAATCATTCTTTTATTAATATGAGAAGGAAATTGTGGGACGAAATTGGTAAAGCTACTGAGAGGTATTTCAGTGGGATCTTTTCTGATGAACCTATGAATGATATTGAGGAGATCTTGCAATAAGGTTGGTAGATTCAAATGACAAATATATTCTACTTGAGCTACTTAAGATGGAAGAGGTTTAAAAAGCAGTGTGCGAGTTAAATAAAAATGGGGCTCCAGGTTCAGATGGCTATAATGGAATTTTTTTAGGGAAATGTTCGGATATTGTGGGCTAAGATGTGATCAAGGCAGCTCTCTCATTATTCTTATTCTTAATAAAGAGAAACAATCATCATTTGCTGATTACAAACCTATTAGTCTGTCTAATTTTATTAGCAAGCTATGTGCCAAGATTCTAGCTACCAGACTTAACAATAGCCTCCCCAGACTAATTTCTAGTGAGCAAGCCGGTCTTATAAAAGGAAGGGATATCTATGACCATGTTCTTGTTGTTCAAGAAATGATCAATTCCATTGATGAGAAGGTAAAAGGGTACCAACTTCGTGATCAAATTTGATATGACCAAAGCCTTTGAAGCTATCTTGACACGTTCTCAACGTTGTTCTTTCTCAGTTTGGCTTTTCTACTGCCTTTATTAATCTAGTTATGGAACATCTAAAGGATACCCACTTTTATGTTCTCATAAATGGGGTCCCTAAAGGTTTTTTCCAACCCCACAGGGGTGTCAAGCAAGGAGATCCACCGTCTCCATTTTCGTTTATTATTGTCACTGAAGCATTATCTAGAGGTCTAAAAGCCTTGATTTCTTCAAAGAAGATTATGCCAAATTGGATTGGTAAAGATGGTTTTTCTGTTTCACATTTTGTGCTTTGCAAATAATATTCTTATCTTTCTTAATGGGGAGGTTTGATCTATCTTATATGTTACTAAATTTCTTAATTTATATTAGAGAGCTTTGGGATAGTCCATTAATTTCCACAAAAGTAATCTTGTATGTCGGAAAACATCTTTGGCCAGAATAAGAGAATTGGAGAGGCTTTTGGGCATGACTAAATGCAACCTCCATCTGAAGTAAGTATATGGAATCTTCCCTGCATAAAGGAATAAATAGAGTTAATTTCTGGTCTAGCATTATTCAAGCTTTTGATGAAAGACTATCTACATGAAAGAAAAGGAATTTAAATCAGGGTGGGAGATTGATTCTTATAAAACATGTTCTCAGTACTAAAACATGGCTAATTTTCTGTGGGGTGTGAATGCTTATAAGAATAAATACAATTGGCTTAAGTGGTAGGACATCTGCTCGCCTATAGCTGAAGGTGTCACGCCCCGGACCGCATCCGTGCCACGTAGACAACCGCCGTACAACTCAATAAGAACAACGTAGTTCATCCTTATTAAATCGTACAAGGCGTCCGATAGATTCTATTGCCAAACCGATTAGTAAACTCATACAATCAACATCAATATATTACTCAGACAAATGCGGAAGTAAAATATGTTTAGTAATTAGCCACACGTGGCAAACATGAGCACGCAGGCCCTTCGATAGTTTAATAGAAAACATTGTTCAAATATCCATGAGCATTTTCATAAGTCAAATAAGAATGGAAGCACGAACCAAGTCTTCCTTATTCGAAGTCCACCCTATGCAAAGGTGCAGGTAGCAGGACTCTAGCCTTAACCTGAAAAATAGTGAGGGTCCCCGGAGGGGTCAGTACTTCACAGAAAGAAGTACTAGTGACAAGCAGGCTACATGAGGAATAACTAATGTTTCAGACACGAGACCCAAAAATAGGATGATACATATATTTATAGGTGTAACCATTGTTACCCCATTCCCAAGATAATACATACTGTATATACTTGTAAAATACTTGACCCGTAGGTCGTTTTCTAACAAAAAGTCTTTTAGAGATAAGGTACTTACCCAACCTTTCCCCTTTCATTCCTGAATGCCTAGCTCAAGAGCTACATTCTACCTTCATAATATCCTACTGAGTTTCAGGAGTGTTTACCATCTCGGGGATACTCAACCCCAACCGAGTTTTAGGATCATTTACCGGCCCGAGGATACTCCACCTCAACCGAGTTTTAGGATTATTTACCGTCCTGAGGATACTCAACCTCACCGAGTTTTAGGATTGTTTACCGTCCTGAGGATACTCAACCTCACCGAGTTTTAGGATTGTTTACCGTCCTGAGGATACTCAACCTCACCGAGTTTTGGGATCGTTTACCGTCCCGAGGATACTCAACCTCAACCTTATTCCTTACCAACCCTAACTTGGATATGGCTAACCTTTCGTTCACTTAACTATGGACAATACCTAGTCCTATAGTCATGTAACAATACTTAGTAACCAACGTGGACGGGTCCCACCTGATCGGTCCACGTTAACCTACTCAAAAACTACCCGTTTTGAGTATAACCCAGTACTCGATCAAGTACCCACCAATACTCGGTCGAGTACAGGAGACAGCAGCCCGTAAGGCTAATTTTTAAGGCATACTCGATCGAGTACCTATCCATACTCGATCGGGTATAGGAGACAGCAGCCCTTGGGGTAGATTTTCAGCAAACACCCGGTCGGGTATGTGCCAATACCCGGTCGGGTATTGTAGTTGACTTGGCGGTCAACGCCCGTTTAACCGCCTGAACGGAGTCCGATTAACGTGAAATTTTACATGCATATTCTACTTGGAGTCCTTGATCCAAAAATGCTTGTTTTGGTCCTTGGAACATTATACATATCAATTTATAATTATTTCACTAGTCAAACCTACATTTCATGCTTTCCAACCTTGTTATAGTTCTTAACATAACATAACACATGCTTTAATACCATTAATCAATTCATAAAACATATTCTTGATTAATTTAGGTAATCTCATGCCTAACGCAAGAGTTATAAAGCATATAGCCGTCTTCTCACCTTAAAAGAAGCTTATGAAGTTCTAGCCTTTCTTATTGAGCCCCGGTGAAACTCCGGTGAACTTCAACGAACTCCGGCGACAATTCCGGCGACCCTTTCAACTCCGTGAAAGTCCTTGAAGTACCTTATACAAGTTAACAACAAGGTTTTATCACCATAAAACCCATATCAACACAAATAACCTCTAAAAGATTATTTTCCGACAAACCGGTCGACTTTGTTCTCTAAATCCGTTTTGGATATGAACCAACCTTCCAACCCCTCATTCTTCACATATAACAAGTATAATGATCCTAGGGGTATGGAATATGATTATATAATCATATGGGAAGATTAAAGAAAAGGAATGGGATTAATGGAGTTATTACCTTGTTAATCCTCAAGTTTTCCTCCTTCTTCCTCTTCTCTTTTCCCTCCTTCTTCCTTAGCTTTGGTTCGAATGGAGATGGTAAAATGGAGATTTTTGCAGAGATTCCTACTCTTTGGATGCTAGGTAGGTCGAGTGGGTGAGGTGTGGGGGTGATGGAAGCTCCCCTTTTGACTTATTAGCAATAATATGAGAGGAGGGTCCCCTCTCCTTTCTCATTTTGTCCCTCAATCACTTCAAGCCTCCCTCACCAGCTCTATGTGCGGCTCCTCTTG